TTCTATATATATATATATATATATATATATATATATATATTTCTTTTATTTATACGTATTATTTTCTAAACAAAAAAAAAATAAAATTATAAGTTGAATGATCTAATATTTTCTTATCTTATATATAGTTGTAATATTTCTTGCTTTTTTTATCAATATATATCAATATTGCTTAAGATTTGTAATTTGCTTAAATATTGATATTCACAGACAACAGATGTATGCAAGTAAATCTATAAATCCTGAACAACATTATGATATAAATTCGCTCTACATATTTTTATAATTTACAATAATTATAATCGACATTTTATAAAACATTTATATATTTAATAAGTGTATTTTATATAAAAGGTTAATTATTTATGCATATTATAAACCTAAACTTATGAATAATCTTTTTAAAAAAACAAGATTAAGATTTCCTTTTAAAATAGGAATCATCTCATCGTCAATCAAAATTATTATAAATTTATTAGTCGAGATTCGTTCATTAACAAATAATATCCTACATCTTATTAAATTTAGCTTACGCAGGAAAAATTACATCAAAACAATAATAAAGTTAATTTAACAGATCCTCAATCTTCTTCAAAATTTAATTTTCAGTCTTGGATTTAGTTTTTGATCCGCAGTATTTTATCTCTGCTGTGGCAACAATTTTACAAATTTGCATTTTAATATCGGCTTGCACTTCCTTGGGTAGATTCAACACTGTCTGTGCCATACTCTCAAAGAATAATTCAATACTATTCTTATAAGTTTTAGATATAACCTTATCATTATTTTTACTATTATTACTATTATCACTATTATTATTACAATAATTGTTAAAATCTTCTGTTTTGACAATTGTATCAACTTTATTTTCTTCAGTTATCGACAGAATACTTGTAATATTATTATTACTGTTATTAATATTCTTACTGTTAATCTTGTTACTATTTTTGTTGTCACTATTCGTCTGCGGTTTGATACAATTATTTATTTCATTAGATATATTCGAAGATGTAGTATATTGAATTTTCTCCTTATTCGGCATAGTATTTGGTATAATAATGCGATTTGATAAAAAAGTAGACATATTCATAGATGGCATTCCTAATTTGTGTTTTGATATTGAAAAAGATTGCAAGGGTTTTGGTCTGATCGGACGAAAACGATCCTTTCTTAAAGTCAACTTATCTGTGGAATAATTATGTTTTGATGCAGTTGAGGATTGCGATCTGTTGCGTCTATTTCTAAGCTTCGGCATAGCCATGGTATTAGAATTGTATTCATTCATTACTTCTAAAACGTTCATTTCTAAATTTCCAGAATCCAAATTTTGCTCAGGTTCCATCGCCTCAGTTTTGACAATGCTTTCATCAATTTCATAATCTGGAGTGAATACTATCTTGTGTTCCATTTTCTGTTTGCCAAAAATCGATCTTCTTTGAAATCTGACAATTTTCTATTATTCCTTAATCCTGTAATGAAGAATATTAAATATATATTTATCTACTTTTATATAAAATTGTGTTGTATCTGGCATTTCTAATTTTTTGTTACTGAATATTATTCTGAATTAATTATATTCATTATTCTTTGTAGTTCTATATAAATATTTGCAAGATTCCTTGAAAATAAAGAATATATTAGTCAATTACAATTTTGAAAGAAATATCCATTAAAAAGTACTCAAGAGTACTCTTTCATATAATTCTTCAAGTATCTAAATGAAAATGTACGATTATAATCAGTGAACTACATTTTCTAGAATCTCCACATAAATTTCTTCGAATGATAAAAATTACGTCTTTCATTTTGAATAAGACCAAAAACGAAACATTTAATCTTTGCTCATAAAACAATTAGAAATGAATTGGACTAAAAGAATAAAAGATTATAAAAGCAACTACATTTTCATATTTTGGTGGAAAGAAAGCTTGTAATTTTTTTTCAGAACAGCTTTGGTTATCTATACAAACATTTTTTAGATTTCATCTCATATTTTACAGCCTACAGGCAGAGAGATAAAAGAATGCCAATTTATTAAAATTAAAGCATAATGATTCTGGGATCTTTCTAATCTTGGCAATTCGATCAGAAATTTCTATGGCATCTATACGTACGAATTGTCATGTTGAACCAATGTTCTATAATCAACCACCATGTTGGGGAACCGGTGTGAAGTGACGCATAAACACTCAGGGACCGTGTTGATGAATGCACAAGAACCACCTACGCTGCAGCTGAAAATTCAGCGAGTTTGCCTATCCCTTTCTCTTTGTCTCGATAGGACGATACGATCGGTATTCTTTCGGAGAAGGCCCCGCCTATCATCGAGACTCGTCAACTTTTCGAAACTGATGCGGTGTGGTTTCCATTCAACAAAAATAACGGTTGTGCAATCATTTGCAATCGCCGAATGGTGATCGAACGTGGATTGGTTTTTGTCCAACAAATTAGCCGTGAGTATCACAAGTCGAGGAGACTCGATGATTTGCCCGAGCGAACGCGTCCAATGAGTTTTGCCGGATCGACCGGATTCGAAAGCAGGAGCCAATTGCCGTTTAGAACTGCTCGGCAAAGAGTTCTATGACCGAACACGCCTATCGATGACATCAAGGAATAAACGATATGAATATCCAAACAATTAGCTTATAATTTTAGTTTTTAATTTTAGTATTAAATTTGTTATTGATTATTACGTAGACTGTACAGATTTATTATTTAAAATAAGCATGTATATATACATACACCTAATGCAATTTTATAATTTGTTTTATAGTAAAATTAATTTGTAAGAGACATTTGAATTGCAATTTAATGAAATTTGATAAATATTAAAAGTGATCTATTTATAAAAAATTTTTCTAACGAATGGATTAGAAGAGAGGAGGATTTCTTGATTTAAATTTAAATCCATTGAATTTTTTTTATATAAATAAATTTATTTACTTGTTGATTTATGTATATAGAAAAAATCCAACGGGTTCTAAGTTCAAATTTATGCCAAGAAATCAGTTCGTTTCTTCAAATTACTAGGAATTTTCTTAAATATATATATATATATA